GGTGTATGATGAGTGGTGTATGATGAGTGGTGTATGATGAGTGGTGTATGATGAGTGGTGTATGATGAGTGGTGTATGATGAGTGGTGTATGATGAGTGGTGGTTGAACAGCTGTTGAATGTCCGTAACACGGAAGTTTTGCACACTAAACTTCCTTTGATCATACAGCAGTTGAAGTTCGGCCTCCATGATGCTGTCCTGCTCGAACAGAGCGAAGCCGATGCCGCCCAGGACTTTTGTACCGAACCCATGACGCATTGGCGACTGGAAGTCATCCAAGGGATCGCGCCAGGCGGCCTTCAACCAGTTGAACACAATCATTGGCGCGCCATTCGCATCCGAGAAGCGCCAACCGATGGATGCTATACTGGGCTGTTCCTATAGGCCTCAACCACGACCCACAAGCCGTGAGCCAGGGGACTGTGCGCTTCTGGCCGCGGCATCGTGACGCATCCATGACGCATTCGCCAGTGGCACACTGACCTCTGGCAAGCAAAATCTACGGCGTGATGAATTTCCTCGAACAGGGGATTTATGGTCATTGGGCGTTCTTTTTTTGGAGGGTATAAAAGCCTGTCAGCAGGAGACTGATCGTAACCTATCCCCAGCAATCCGTGAGAGTTTGACGTTGATTCGGACAGTGTTGCAGCTTCGCCCTGCCCGAGTGATGGAAGTGATCCATCTGTCCGCGCAGAGGTTGTGGTCGCTTCGGACGCTGCGCTCGAAGTTCCCTTCGAAGGCACAGGTGGGTTCCTCATTGTTTGAATGGTTTGATGGAGCTGAAGAATGTCGCGAAGCCTTCGTATCCAACATGCCCAGATCACTTTACATCTTGTTCACCCCCGGAAGATTGCGCAGTTAGAACTCATTCAACTCATCTTTGCGCTCGCCACAAGACCACACCGGTTCCGCGTTGATGGCACTGATCCGAGGCAGATCGGACTCCGATGACCTTGAGCGAATGTCACAAATTGTGCGTGTCCTGCTCTTTGGTCTCCAGTGCTGGATGTTTTTCGAATGGACCCCATCGAAAAGTAACTGGGCTGACGCTATCAGCCATCTCGGTTTCCAGGATCCATGGCACGTGAAGCACGGGTTTTCCCAGTCAATATAGGCCTTTTTCCCGTTCATCCTATGGCAACTGCCAGTTGCCGGCCTCGTTCACGTTGCCGAATTCTTGTATAAGTGCGTTGGGAGATTCAAGTGCCTTGGGTGATATCTGGGGGATGATGCCCGGCCAGGGGTGACCTGGCAGGGAATCGACTGGTAGGGAAGTGATCCCTATCTACTCAACGCAATAGCCTGTACGACGTACAAGCTTCACACCCGACCAGGTCTTGCGCAAAAGTGCGGAGTGCGCTTCACAGGATAGGATCCTAACAGCCTAGGAATGTATTACTGTCTCAGGTCTGGCAGGCTTAGGGTGGACAGTGGTCATTCCTCAGAGTGATTAGAACCTGATACCATTTTGGCTCAAGTGTGATCCAAACTGGCAGGTTCTTCTTGGCAGTGCCCCCCCTGAGTGCAGGGGGGCGCGGGTGATATTTGGGGTGACCAGATGATGCCCGGCCAGGGGTGACCTGGCAGGGAATTGGTAGGGAAGTGATCCCCACCTACCCAACGCAAATAGCCTGTACGACATACAAGCTTCGGACCCGACCAGGTCTTGCGAAAAAGTGCGGAGTGTGCT